GAGAAATACTGTTCTGTGCGAGTATCTTAGGTAGAAATGAGGAAGGATAAAATCCCTGGAATTCGAAATTTTGCAGGAGTCAGCTGGGTAATGTTGGAGATTCTCGTGGGGGACGATATTGATTAGTCGAAGTGAATTCTTTGTCCTGACCGCCTGTAGAATCGTCTCATATCCCTGATCTCGAAGAAATTTTAAATCCGTTGGAGGTCTGAAATGGAGGTCGAATTCCAAGCGCGCGTGATCGTGCTTGACATTTGATTACCATTATCGCAATGGCGATTGCGGCCAATGAAATCAATGCGTACCAATAAGTTGAAATTAAACCTACCGTTGGGGATGCCTAAAATGGGCAGACAACGGACTAATTTTATTCCCTGGAAACCCCGCCCAAAGTTTAGTTGTGATAAGGCGGTGGATCCATTAAATAGACCAGCTATTTTGGATTAAGGCCTCTTCATTTCAGCCCCTTATCAAGACCAGCTGTTTGCCCTAAAGTCAGTCAAATAAACGTACGCACACCACCTCGTTTGTGATAATTGTCTTTGTATTTACCTGAAAAACGAAATGCTCAGAGGCCTCGGTGGTGCAAAATAGCAAAGTAAAGGGCGAGGTACTGAATTTGCTATTAGTGTTTCTCCTTTCCTGCACACTAACGGAATCCTTCAGTGTCGCGTGGACTTGCATAACTTTCCCAGGCATAGTACATTTGAAGACAGTTTTTTTCACTTAAAACAAACAAGGCATTTCGCCCACTATTGACTAAGCATAAAACTAATTAAAAGCAAAGACCTTTCAGGGGTTAAAGGCGCCCAAGAGTTGCTTTACAAATTAGCCTTATTTTGACCTTGCCTGTAAAATGGCAATCAATAAATAAGAAATTACATCGTCAGGGTGTTGCCCGGGTTCCAAATTGCTGATCAAGCTAACAGTCTTAGTTCCTCAAAAATTCTTATTTAATTTACGATTGAAAAGTAATATCGGCAAACAGCTGTTTTGGGTCATTCAACAGCGGGTCTTTATAGTGTAGTGGCTAAGCCTACAACACGTATAAAAAGTATAAGAAAAGACGCAACAAAAAACTTCCTAGTGTAGAGCTAACATTCAGTAACTAAACTATCGCACTACGCTAGTGAGAAAAGTGGAAAACTGTATAAAGATAGCAATAAAAAGGTGAACTATACGACTCACTTGATCCCCAACGATCC